ACTATATGTCTGATCAGTGGATCTCTATGCTGAATATGCCCTGAACTTTCAAACCTCTTTGCCTTTTGCTCATTTTATTTCCTCCATTTGAAATTGCCTTATTTTTGTCAAGCGAATTCAATACTGAATTCACTTGCCACCTTTTTTTAAAATCTCACCTTCTCCCATCTTCAGATGTTAATGGTTTGTCTGTGTTTCTTCAACACTTATCTCACATATGTACCTTATAGCACTTATCACATGTGTCTCTTAATTTATATTTCTGCTGCTAGATAGTAAACTATGAGAGTCAGTAAAAAGTAGTATTTATTTAAAATGTCAGACTCTCTTCTAAGCACTTTACAATGATGCGATCATTGACTTCTCTCAATAACACCAGAAGGTATGTAACCCCCTTTTTACTGATGAGGCATGTAGGGTTAAGTAATTTTCCCAAGATCATACATGCAGTAAATGATTGCTGAATTGAATGATGGCTAAGTAAAAATGCTTACTGAAAATGACTACAATGTATTTTTCCTTTCTGGACAAAATTAACTGTCTCAACATTCTTTTCTTCATGGAGGAAAAAACAAAATGACTTACTTCTTCAACTCATGATCTTGAATATACATGTAAGTTAAATGTTATTTTATTTTTCTATTCAAATCTACAAACCAGGACATGTATTACAATATCAATTTTAATATTGTGTCAAGAATCTATTATTTTACAAACACACAGAGAGAAAAATAGGAACTGTGCTCTGTCTCCAAACCAAACTTGAAAAACTATCTGAAAATGATGCTGTCTCAAGGTACCAGAAGGAGGGAGGTTAGGTGTAGGGGTGGGTGGCTACAAATGCCTGGTGTGAATATTTCCAAACCCCAAATCATCTGTGGCTTTTTTATAGCCTTTTTCTCTATCACTCATAGGGAAACCATTCTCTGCTTTCCTCCAGGGCTTTTTAAGGTTCCAGTCCTTATATTAAGTGCCTGATCTGATGGGAGGAAAACTGGCTCTAAATTCCTTTTAATCAAAAGGGCTTGAGCAGCTAATGGACATCCTTCCTTTGGCAAAAGGACATGATATAAAAGCACCTTCTCAGTTTGCAGGAACAATTATAAAGCACACATGGAAAATAATGAGGGGGGTTGAAAACAGGGGAGGGAGGTGGGGAGTACTGGAGTGGTGGGGGGAACAGTGGGGGAAAGAGGCAGAAAACTGTACTTGAACAATAATAAAAATGTTTTAAAAAGCCCCTTCTCTATCCCTATAAAAGAATTATTTATACAATTCTTTTATAAAGTTAAAGCCACATGGTTTTAATACTTTTTAGAACCTGTTATGTTTCAATATAAGGAAAAAAATTTTTCCAAATATTTTCTCCATTGCTCCCTTTAACTTATTCGACTGTTTTGACTGATGGCCAAAAACAATCCTGTGATTTACAAAGGACATCTTCATTTTGACCACTATATAGACTACCTTTGAACTTGTTCTTCAAAATTAAGTCATTCTATCATTTCAATACAATGCAAAAAAGTTTCTGAGGGGAGAAAGTCACAGAATACTAGCATTCCCTAAGAACAACAATAAGAGTCAGCAATAAACAATGATCTTAGTAGACCCTGCAGTTTCCATTCAAAACATTTATAAGAGAATATTATTAAACATGAAAGGGATGTATTTTGCATAGAAAAACCAAACTCACATGATTTTAGAATTCTGAATAACCCACAGTTCTGATAACCATCTACCTTAATGTGTTTAGATAGAATTTGAAACATTACCATATGTTATCTTATCTTTTTTTATATGAAACTAATATAAGTTGGGTCTTTTTTGTTTGTTTTAATAACAATACAGTCTATGGTACTGGTGGAATAAAATAAATAAGGGAACAAGGTAAATTTAATGGGGAATACATATAAGTGTTCAACTATCAACACCGGTTGCAACACAACTCACTATTACAGGCCAAAAAGGAATGTGTATCTACAATAGTAAATATGTTTAATTATATTTGCAACAGAAGTAAACTTTTCAGCTGATAGATTAGGGAGTTTTGTTGTATATCTCCAATAAAGGCCAATAAAAATACTGAGAGAGTAACATATTTTAATAATAAGAGATATGTATTGTTTCACAGGTTATATCCATCTTTGCTTGAGCATCATGGGAGCAGGCATCTTAGTGCCTTCCTTTACCTAGGTGTGTTCATGCTAACTTGCAGTAAGGTATAAGAATGGAAAATAAGCCCTGGCTGGTGTAGCTCAGTGGATTGAGCATGGGCCTGCAAACCAAAAAATAGTGGTTCGATTCCCAGTCAGGGCACATGCCTGGGTTGCAGGCCTGTTCCCAGCAGGGGCCAGTTCCCAGAGGGGGGCGCATGAGAAGCAACCATACATTGATATTTCTCTCCTTCTCTTCCCTTCTAAAGATAAATAAATAAGTAAAAATTTTAAAAAGATAACTGTTTAAAAAAAAGAATGGAAAATAAGACACCTCTGGGACTCTTGAAGGAACTGAAATATCTCTCTTGTGTAAGTGTGCAGTCAGGACATGAGAACTTTTAACACCCATTTTTTGTTGTGATTTTGTGTATAGTATTAACAATGGAACTTAAGATTCAAAAATACAAGGAACATGGTGATTAAGCTAAATCAAGTGTTGATAAAACCTAGCTTCTCTTTGTCCTCAAGATTACTGCTGATTTTTTCCTGATTGCTGGTAATATTTGAATCTCTAAGCAAAGCTCTGTATAAATAAGATCACTGTAATTATGTCTACTGTAATTTTTTTGAGTTGGACATATAATGCTATCAGAATAACTTTTGATTATCATTTCTTTTGTTGTAGTATATTGGATAATGATTTTAGTACCAACAAGAGAACTTTATTGATAGATGCAACCCAGTGTTGAACATTAAACTTTGTCTCATATCCAATCAACTTTGGTATAAAGTAAAAATGAGGTCAAACTGAGTCCTCACTAAATCACAGCTTGAGCTGTCTTTATATGAGCAAAACTGAATAACTGTATATATCACTGAGACATTTGTTATCTTCCCTTATATATATTTATATTCTCTTTACAGATATACTATAATAATAAAAATTTCTGTTCCATTACTTCTAAACTTATTTTTCAAGTACAAAAAAACCCTAAGAAATAAAAACAATAAAAAACAATAACAACTCTTCTGTTTTTGTCTTGTAAGCCACTCTTCTTACAAGCTAAATATATAGAACCCAACATTTCTACTCTGCTACAATTAAAACATGATATTTATATTAAAATTCTGAACCAACCAACAAAGCAGGTATAAAAGTGTTTATATTATTGGCTTATAAGAATAAATAGAAGGATAATTATGACAAACTATCAAATAATGCTTTTATTGATAATATAATTTGTTGGTTTATCCACTTTATACTCCCTATCATTAATACATTTCTACTTCCAGGATACAGTAAACAATAAAAATCAAAACCATAATAAAGCTAGTCTTCCTAGTTTGTGCCTGCTTTCTAGGTTAAAAAAATATTGTAAAAAACTGTAAAATATATTCCAAGAAAAGTAACAGGCCACACAGGTAAGTTTTGGCAAATGCAACTTTATATTGCAATTCACACATCTGTATCTTAAAGAATGAGATCCAGACTCCAATATATTTTTAAACTATCAGAAATCATATTACAAGCTTTCACAAGTTAAATCTGAAATAATTTAAATGACCAATACACTGAATGTGCAGAAAGTATAAACAGGACTGTGCCTTCTGTAGGAAAAACTCTACACAAATTGTACTAAGGCTGTGCTCTTCCCTTAACAGATGACTTAAAATATAAACATATATCAACTGCCTGGTTCTTAGAACACACCAGAATGGGTAGCACACCTCAGAAGAAAATCTCATTATCCTGATGATGTAGACCTTAGATTTTAAACTATGTGGGGAACAAGGAAAAAGAGAATTAATGATCTTCCATGTACTTCCAGATGCATGACCATGACCAGTTACTGATTTGATTTCCCTTGACTATTTGCTTCAGTGCTAAATAAGATGAAATATACTAGATAACTTTTTAAGGCAACATGTGTTTATTTTGAATTATTATAACTGCTCATTGTGATTGGTTGCTGCCATTAATGTTGCCTTCCAGACCAATATCTAGTATTTGCAAAATAAAAATGATTTGAAAAAATTTTATACCAAATCAAGAAGAACCACATAATACAGTTCAATGCTAGCAATTTAACTAGTAGATAAGGAAAGTGATAATTAGAAGTAGCAAGGTATTAATTTAAAAAGTAAACTCTAATGGAAACCAATACACTGCTTTGGAATGTTCCTCCAAATTTACAAGGTGATTTTTAAAAAGTGGGATAATCCAGTAATCCATGGTATATCTTTAGTGGATTACATTACTTTAAGTCCTCAAATATTTTAGATTCATGAAACAATAATAATATGAAATGTTTTAAAAACTTCAAAGTTCTAGAATTGTTTTTATTACTGTATTTACTTCATGTCAATTTGATTTATTAAGATGACCAATACTAATTTTTTGACATTTTTCATAAGTAGTGACTTAGCACTGATACTTAGCACCAGTTAATTATATTATCTAGTTTTCAACCACATAAAGAAACTTAGGGCAGAGGTTCAGTCCTTTCTTAATTGCAAACCTTCATAGGCAGTCAGCGAGATCATTCTGAGTTTTAAAATTAAGTTACAGTTGAATGATTACAAAGACTGCTGAATGTAGCCCAAATTATTATAACCACTAATTCCATCCTTTACTTTCTTCTCAAGATGTGGCTAAAGGCCACGGCTGCTTAACAGAGAAGGTCAGTGTTTCACAAGGTTAAAGATTTACAAATGTTCCTTCATATAACACAGTAAGGTTCCCTTGGTAACCTGGATTTTCTGCAGTAAAGAAGCGTTGTGCTAAAACAGCGCCTCAGCTCCCTGTTGGAGAAAATGCAGACAAAAGGATTGATTCCTGCTTGGGCAAAACTCATCCAGACAGCAGCTGTTAGAAATCCCCCTGGTACTACAGGCCCTCCTGCAAAAACTCTCCAATAACAGGCTACCAGGTAAGGGCCCCACAAGGTTAGGAAGAGAAAAGTCATTATATAGAACATTCTGCTAATTCTTTTTTCCATTTTGAATTCCTCCAAGACCAATAGCCTTCTTCTGCCCATGGTGTTTGCATTTTGCCTGATGCCCAACAAGGTAGGTGGTGTGGGACCCCTTCCAAATCCCGCTAGCCAATTGGCAGCTGCCTGGCCACTGGCCCCTGGGCCATGAAAAGTCCAGTTCTGGCTGACTGCTGCTACAAACTGGACTGGCTTCATTTTCCTTCGATCGTGAACAAAAAATATCAGCTTGAGGTAGACAAGCTGTGTGGCTAGGAGGATGAGAGCAAGGAGCAGCATAAATCCTAAGGAATCATTGGCCCTGAAGGAGCGGTGTTGGAAGGTGCATTGATCTTCTTCCCTAATGAATGAGTAAGTGCCCACATCTAAAACTGGGGGAAATGCCATGGCCACAGATAAAGTCCACACCATACAGATCACAGCTAGGCACGTCCAAAACGTCAGCCTCTTTGTATAGAAACGGTGATGGGCAATAGCTAAGTATCTGGTGACACTGATGCAGAAGAGCATGAAAGCAGTGTGGAAACAGGACAAAACCCCCAGAAAGGCAATCACTTTGCAAGTCAAAGTCCCATAAGTCCAGGTAGAGCCATTTTTAACAGAGTTGAATACAAATGGAAAACAAATTGCAGACCTGAGGATATCAGAACAGCAAAGGTCCAAGAGGAAGTAGTATGGTGCTCTATGCAAAGTCTTATCTTTCACTAGCAAAATGGAGATCAGAAGGTTGCCCACCACGCTGACTCCTATTATAAAACCCAGGGAAGTCAGTTTCAGAAAGGCTGTTAGAGGAGAGAGATTTTGTAAAACGTTGTCAGCTGCATGGCTATAGTTCGCCATAGATGGATGGAAGATCAAGATTACAGCCTCAGTCAAGTTTCATGATCTAGATAAAACAAGAAAAAGATAGATCCATACATTTTTTACTGAAAATGTAATCCCTAAAAAGAACTGATCCAATCTGCAGTAGTGCTTCTCTTTTCTTCCATTTGATTTGCCTCAGAATATCTAGGGGGAAAAAAAGAGCTATCAGTTCTTAAGTTAACAAGCAATAATGTCAGGCAGTGCTAACATAAAGCTGTTGATTTATGAAGAAGTAAATAAAGTTTTAATTTTGAATAATATTATTTGCTTTAGTATTTTTGCTTGAGATTCCAGAGAATTAGCTTGTTTAATTTTTTGAGCTAGGTAAATTGAAAAATGTTCCTATTTTGGAGAATATACATTTTATTAGGTACCTTTAGGACAAAAGGAATAATGTTCCACACTCATAAAATATGCCAGTCCAGGAATTAGTCACTGATTGCAAAGGGATCTACAAGATTGATAATAGGAGACAGAGAGGAGACTACCTACATTTATTTGAGGTCTATTAGTATCTGTCAGCATTTTACAGGCAGCGTCTCTGCTGATTTAGATGCAAAGAACCCTTGCAAAATACTTGTCTTTTAACTCGTGTCACTATTCATGCTGCATATGATGAGCATTTGTTGATTTAAATCATAATTTAAAGCATAAACACTAGACTTTTAAATTATTAGGAACTTGTCCCAGAATTTGATGTGATTTAATCTTTTGTCTCCCCTCCCCCAGCCCACCCCACCTCAGTTTTGGCAAATCATTTCTCTTTTAAGCACACACAATTATTAAAAATGGTTAATGTAAAGATTGGCCAGGAAGACACACCCAGAGAAATAATACACTTTTATTTTTTAATTTTGGATGCTTGGATTCAAATAAATTTAACACGAGCTTGTATTTCTTGGGCAATTAAGCCTTTCCACTTACTTTGATAATCTGTGTTGTAAATCTAAAGTGATTACATTTTAAAAGAAAATGTACATTTTCTCCTAGGTGCCTGGAGACCACATGAGGGAAATCAGCTTCTTCTGTTGCTCCTACTAAACATGTTTCCTTTGCCACTTTTCACTTGCTAGGATATGCTGATGGTAAGCCCAGGCAAAACTGCATTCTACAATTTTAATTTTCCCTCTGGTTCATCCCTGGGTAAATACTGATCTCAACATGCAACATTATGAAACCTGAAATCCGCCACCCCTGGATTTATAATGGGGGGTGGAGAAGGAGGAGGGGAGAGAGACATGCATTACATACGCGAAGATGGGGAGAGAAGATTGCTTCTGTGCTGCAAGGGAACTGTTCCCAGCGATTCTCAGTCTGATATTCGTCAGCCTTGTAAAGCTTTCCAGAAATGGGGCTTTGAATAAGCCCTACTGAAGATGCATTGTCTGATGTACTTCCATTATGCAGTTTATTGTTTAAACACACACACACACACACACACACACACACACACACACACACACACACACTAAAACACCACCTGCGTGGGGGTGGGAGGGAGCTCTTTCCCGGCAAACCTGCAGTTTCATGAACACTATGAGCACCCACGCCCCCCACCACCAAACTTAACCGAGAGTATGTCCTCCTACCTGTTGATATTGGATATCCCGACAGACTATAGCTTCTTTCTATAAATTGCTGATGTTTTTTTCTTTCTTTTTTTTTTTTTGGCCTTTTTTTTTTTTTTTTTTTTTTGGCCTTAGTGCTTTCAGGAGCAGACAGGCAAGGCTGGGCAGCGCCTGCGCGCTGGAACCTCCTTGAGCTCCAGCAGCGTCCTCTTCTGTCGCAGCGGCAAGTCTCCCGCAGTAAAGCAGAGGTAGTGGCGAGGTCGGAGAGGAGCTAACCTGAGCCCCGACCCGGTTCCAGAGCTGGCAAAATTTACTGAATGTCCCATCCTGTTTAATTTCCAATATTAGGCTTTTGTATCATTGTGGGTGCTTCTGAACTTACCCTTACCCGCCTGGGAAGTGGGGACTGGAAAGATTTGCTCAGGAACTCAGGCCTACACTGCCTTAGTGCTATGTCAGAAGGTCACCTTTCTGGTAGTGCCGGAACCCTCGCCTTCCCTGAACATTTTTCTTCCTTCCTCTTTAAGAGTGGTCAGAAGCATTGGAATCTTTTTTAAGGTTTCTTTTTAAATGATCTCCCCAGCTGGCCCCAAAATTTGCCGGTTAGTTGGGAATGGGGGGAGAAAGAATTAGAGAGGGGAAGGCGAGCAGGAGAGATCAAATTTTAAGGGACAGTTAAGAAAAATCTTGTCAATGGGGAACAAGGCAGCCCTGTCTTTGTCATCTATTCTCAAATGAACGCAAATATGCATTAAGTAGGGAGAAGCTAAATTCAGACAACTGCAAAATGACTTAGATCCGTCTACTTTAACAAATATGACTGAAAAATCTCCAATTATAAATGACTATTCCTTGTATTTCAACTCACTGAGCGTTAGCTTTTCTTTTTCCTTCTTGCAACTAAGACTTACCAGTAAATTGGTAATGTCAAAGCAGTTGTGTATGTGTTTCCCTTTTTCCCCTTTGTAATTACCGAAGAAAAATACTAAGAATACAAGGAATTCATAAAACTTGACCTGGCCAGGTAGTTCAGTTGGTTGGAGCTTGGGGTTTTGGGTGTGAACCCTTGTTACTGCAGCATACAGGAATCAATCAAAGAATGGATGGGTGGGGCAACAAATCATGTTTCTCTCATTCTCTCTCTCTCTAAAAATTTTTTAAAAGGCTTACATTTGCCCAAAATGTCCAATGCTACTATAGCACACCATACAGTCTGACATCTGGGTGCTTATGGATGACTCTGGAATCATGCATTTTCTTATTTTACCATTTTGGAACAATATAAGATCTTAAACAACTCCCCACCTCCCCAAAACTAGCAGACTTGCTTTCATGAATTCCCAGTGTAAAACGTCTACTTCTCGTCACACATGCTTGCTGTTTTATAATAATCTGTTAATAAAACAGAAAAAATAAATATTTTTACAGTAATAATTTGATCTTTGAACAACGGTAAATACCTCGCTCTTGGTGAGAATGTGACATGGGGAGCTTCAGCCAATCTGCACACAGATAATATGGATTAATTTCCATATTGCATTTCTTTTGGTTATACCAAGGTAAAGCTTTCTTTTTAAAGCTTAAAAATGATAACTTCAATGTCATGATGTCCACACAAAGTCCTATGTTGGGAATACTGACATGATGTTAAATTTTCCTAATTTGTTATGGGGGTCCTAAATTCACTTAAATATAGATGTTGATTTGTTTTCTTTTTTCTTGTTTCTTTATTTTTAATTTTTAAATTTTTGTTAGAAAAATATATAAAGCGCCTAATCTAGGCATTCCTTTAATCTAGAAAAATTAATCTTACAGTAGTACTGGAGTAACAACATTTCTATTCAAGTGAAACACTCCTCTTTTCTGCCAAATTCAGAAGAAATCAAAACCATATGATGGCTTACAATTTCTAAGTGAAACGTCAAATTCATTTTTACGTAATGTCAAATATTTTCAATTTGTTCTTTTTTTTACTTCTCAATTAGTGCCTCAGTGTACTTGGCAAAGAGTTATTTAATCAGTTTCATATTTTTAAAAATCTGTAAAATAGAAAACAAATTTGCTGAGTATTCATGATTGCACAGATCTTTGGTTGTATAGAATAGGGAATAGTTATTTAAAAGTAGGTTAAAAGGGTGACTGTCCTGCCAGGCCATGAAGCAAAAATTTATTCTGCCAAAACGCATAGGACCAAGATCCAAAGGTTTAAATATACTTTAAGAAACAGGTATTGATTCCTTAAAAATAAGATGGGAAATGAATATGCAATATTCTTTCATTTCCACATCTCAGGGTATATTAAGGCTATACTTTTCCTTTGCAAATAAGTATAGTTATAGCTACTAGTTCTTGATTTTTTTCAGCTGTGAAATTATAAGTCCTTTTCTTGCTTCACAAGGGGGCTCAAGAAATTAATAAGGTAGTTTCCATTTAGTTCATTAACTGTACTGGAGCAGGTGTGCCTGACCTGTAGCCTGCCAGCCATATGCAACCCAGGACAGCAATGGATGTGGTCCAACACAGAATTGTGAATTTACTTTAAACCTTTTTATTTGCTCATCAGTTTTCATTAGTGTTTGTGCGTTTAATGTGTGGCCCAAGACAACTCTTCTTCTTTCAGGGTGGCCCAGAAATGCCTAAAGGTTGGACACCCTGTAAAGTCTGCATCTTCCATCAATAGGGATTAAAAATATATATATTTAATAACAGAAAATTTTCATATAATCTACAAGTTATCAAAAGTAAATGTATTGCTTCAAAGTTTTCAGATGATAACCTTGTTTTGATCTTAGCTAATTTTTTTGATTCCTTATATCACTAAACATAGAAAATTATATTAAGTGTAGAGGAACTAAGCCAACAACAGGAAAATACTCTATCCACCCTGGGTTGGAAGGACTCCAAAGGTTTTGAAGTTCTTGGAATGTTACATTTGCTATATTGATCAGTGGATTAGGAAGTCTAATGTAATTTGCTACTTATAATAATTATATGTAATTTTATTTAAAACAGCAATTTTCTTCTTTTCAAAATTAATAGGATATTTCATATTTTTCCCAAGTGATGCATTGTCTCATGATGGTCAAATGAAGTATTTTAGTTGTATGCATCGTTTATGTGAAACTATGTGTCAGCATGTAAACAATTCTTGGTGAATACAGAGATTAATAGGCCAGGATAAAAACGTTCTAAGAAAATACTGTTTAATCTTTTATTTAAAGTGCTTTTCTCCAGCTTGAAGCTTGTCATTAAATCTTTAAGTACACATGTCTTTGGTATTTTTAACTGTTACTGAAATCTAAACTTGTGTATGAAAAGAAGATTTTTGTAAATTTTCTGGAAACTACATTGGTAAGAAAGATTCCTATCAGGAACTTTTTCAGAGAAACATTTTTTTAATTGAATTTATTGGAGTGACATTGGTTGATAAAATTGTGTAAGTTTCAGGTGTACAATTCTTTAATACATCATCTGTATACTGTATTATTTATTTACAACCCAAAGTCAAATCTCCTTGCTTCTCCATTTACCCTCCTGTGCCATTAAGGAACACGAATGAGATCGTGGCCACTTAATTTGGAGGTTTGGATTCACAGACAATAAAGACCCCAATTCAAAGGTGAATAGTTGAGAATTTTAGTAAGAGAGAGCAAGAATCAAGAGCATACAGCACCAGATGGGAAATCACCAACACTGGAACACAGATGTTGGGGGTTCATTGAGACAGCAGCATTGGGGTTTGTCTGGGGAAAGTTCTGAGCAAAGCATCCTTCCTTCAGGTAGGATTCCAAAGTCTCACTTTGGGGGCTATGATTGAATATGTTTTAGACAAAAGTGGCTACATGCCAAGAGCCTTGTATGATTTTGACTAACTGTTCCCTCTGGGAGAAGAGCCAATTCTCCTAGGGAACAGCTGAAGATCAAAGGTGCTAATGTCCTGGCAAGAAGGACAGTTCTCCCTGGGAGATGGCACTATGTTTTGCTTTTCCAATGAAGGCACACAGCTCAGGCGTACACAGGGAGGATTCTCAAAGTCCCTTTAAACCTTCACCTGCCCACCTTTAACCTCTATCCCAACCACATATTTTCCTCTGGTAATCATACAGTTGTCTGTGTCAAAGAGGTTTTTGTTTTTTCTTTGCTTAATCCCTTCACCTTTTCGCCCAACCCCTCAACCACCTCCCCTCTGACAGCTGTCAGTCTGTTTTCTGTATCTGTGAGCTTGTTTCTACTTTGTTAGTTTATTTTATGCATTTGATTCCACATATAAGTGAAATCATATAGTACTTGTCTTTTTCTCACTGACTTATTTCACTTAGCAGAATACTCCCCAGGTCCATTTATGCTATTGCAAAAGGTAAGATTTTCTTCTTTTTTATGGCCAAGTAGTATTTTATTGCGTAAATGTACCACAGCATTTTTATTCACTCATTTACTGACGGACATTTGGGCAGCTTCCAAATCTTAGCTGTTGTAAATGATGCTCCACTGGCCATATGTACACATATATGGCTTCGAATGAAAGTTTTGGATTATTTCAGATATATTCCAAAAAGTGATATCCCTGAGTCATAAGACAGTTTCATTTTAAAATTTATTCTATTCTATTTTATTTTATTATTTGTTGTTCAAGTACAGTTTTCTGCCTTTTACCCCCATTCCAGCCCACCCCTGCAGCCCTCCCCACCTCCCTTCTGTTTTCACCCCCCCCCCCTTGCTATTGTCCATGTGTCCTTTATACTTGTTCCCCTGAAATTCCCTCCCCTTTCCCCTCTGGTCACTGTCCCCCTTTTCTCAATTTCAGTGTCTTTGGTTATATCTTGCTTGTTTGTTTGTGTTGTTGATTAGATTCCTGTTAAAAGTGAGATCATATGGTATTTGTCTTTTACTGCCTGGCTTATTTCTCTTAGCATAATGCTTTCCAGCTCTATCTATGCTGTCTCAAAAAATAGGAGCTCCTTCTTTCTTTCTGCTGCATAGAATTACATTGTGTAAATGCACCATAGTTTTTTGATCCATTCATTTACTGATGAGCACCTAGGTTGCTTCCGGCACTTGGCTGTTGTAAATTGTGCTGCTGTGAACATGGGGGTGCATAGGTTCTTTAATTTCTTGAGGAAACTCCATATTGTTTTCTACATTAGCTGCACAATACATTCCCACCAACAGTACACAAGGGTTTCTTTTTCTTCACATTTTCCCCAACACTTGTTCATTGATTTATTGATGACAGCCATTATGATAGGTATGAGATGATATCTCATTGTGGTTTTATTTGCATTTCTCTGATGATTAGTGATGTTGATCATTTTTTCATATGTCTATTGGCCATCTTTATGTCCACTTTGGAGAAGTTCTATTCAGCATGCCTTTGCCAATTTTTAAAGTGGACTGTTGTTTTTTTTTTTGGACTGGTTTTTTATAGTGTTGAATTTTATATGTTCTTTATACATTTTGAATAATAACACCCTTTCAGATGTATCTTTGGCAAATATGTTCTCCTATTCAGTGAATTGTCTTTTCATTTTGTTGATGGATTCTTTTGCTGTGTAAAACCTTTTTAGTTTGATGTAGTCTCTTTTGTTTATATTTTTCTTTTGTTTCCCTTGACTCAGTATACATATCATAAAAAATATGGCTAAGATAAATGTCCAACATTTTACCACCCATATTTTCTTCTAAAATTTTTTGGTTTCAAGTCTAACATTTAGGTATTTTATCCATTTTAGGTTTATTCCTTTGTGTGGCACAAGAAGGTAGTTCAGTTTTGTTTTGGTTTTTTTGCATGTATCTGTCCAGTTTTCCCAACCCATATATTTAATAGACTATCTCTACACATTTATATGCTTGTGCTTTCTTTGTCAATTATTAATTTATCATAAAAACATGGGTTCATTTCTGGCCTTCCTATTCCATTGATTTATATGTCTGGTTTTTTGTGCAAATATCATGCTGTTTTGATTAGTATGGTCTTATAGTATAGTTTGATATCAGGTAGCCCGACCCCTACAACTTTGTTATTCTTTCCCAAGATTGCTGTGGCAGCTCAGGGCCTTTTGTAGTTCCATATAAATTTTTGGAATATTTGTTTTAGGTCTGTGAAATATACCATTGATAGTTTTCTAAGAATTGGGTTGAATTTACAAATTGCTTTGGGACCGTACAGACATTTTAATGATGTTAATTTTTCCTATACATGAACATGGTATGTACTTGTGCTTATCTGTATCTTCAATTTCTTTCCTCAGTGTTCTATATTTTTTGGAGTACAGGTCTTTTATATCCTTGAATAAACTGATTCTTAGGTACATTATTTTTTTGTTGCAATAGTATATGGTATTGTTTTCTTAATTTCTATTTCTGATACTTCATTATTGGTATATAAAAACGCAACTGATTTCTGGATACATATTTTGTGTCCTGCTACTTTACTGAATTCATTTACCAGTTCTAGTAGTTTCTCAGTGAAATAATTAGGGATCTCTGTATTTAGTATCATGTCATCTGCAAATAATGACAGTTTTACTTCTATCTTTCCAATATGGTGCATTTTATTTCCTTTTCTTGACTGATTGCTGTGACTAGGACTTCCAGTACCATCGTGTATAAGAGTGGTGAAAGTGGACCCCCTTGTCTTGTTCCTGATCTTAAGGAAAACATTTTTAGTTTTTTGCCTGTTGAGGATGATGTAGGCTCTGGGTTTATTATATTGAAGAATGTTCCCTCTATTCTCACTTTGCTAAGAGTTTTTATCATAAATGAATGTGAATTTTATAAAATGCTTTTTTGCATATATTAATATGATTGTGTCACCTTTTACATCAATTTGTTTATGTGGTACATCGTTTAATTTTTAAATTTATTTTGATTTTTATTCATTTATTGTTGTTTAATTACAGTTGTACCAATTTTCCTCTGTTGCTCTTCACTGATCCTCCCACCCTGGCTCACTCAGTCAGTCCCCACCCTGTTCTCCGTTACAATGTTCTGTATACATATTCCTTGATGAGACCCCTCCTTTCATTCCCCACAATCCATCTCTCCTCTCCTTTCTGGTCACTATCAGTTTGTTCCTTATTTCAGATATCTGGTTCCATTTTGCTCATTTGGTTGTTCAGTTAATTAGGTTCCACTTATATGTGATATCATATTGTAATTATCTTTTGCTGCCTGGTTTATTTCATTTAGCATAATATTCTCCAATTTCATCTATCTGGCATGAAGGGTAGGATTTCTGTCTTTCTTCCTGTTGTGTGGCATTCCATTGTGTAAATGGAGCACATTTTTTTGATCCAGTCATTTACCGATGGGCACTTAAGGCCATTTCCAGCACTCAGATATTGTAAATAATGCTGCTATGAACATTGGCATGTATAGGTTCTTTTGAATTGGTATTTCAATATAATTAGGGTATAATCTCAGCAGTGGATTCACTGGATCAAAAGGCAGTTCCATTTTTAGTTTTTGAGGAAATTCCGTACTGTTTCCCACAGTGGCTGCACCAATTTGCATTGCCAACAGTACACTAGGGTTTCCTTTTCCTCACATCTTTGCTAGCAATTGTTTGTTGATTTGTTAATGATGCCCATACTGAACAGTGTGAGGTGGTATTTCATTGTGGTTTTAATTGTATATCTGTGATCGATAGTGATGTTGAGCATTCTTTCATATGTCTATGGGCCCTCCAAATGTCTTCCTTGGAGAAGTATTGCTTCTGGTCCTGTGCCCATTGTTTAATCGGATTATCATCATTGTGTTGACTTGTATGAGTTTTTTGTATATTTTGGAGATCAAACCCTTGTCCAAGATATCATTGGCAAATGTGTTTTTCCATATAGTCAGTTCCCTATTCATTTTGCAGATGTTTTCTTTAGCCATGGAGAAGTTTTTAGTTTCATGTGGTCCTATTTATTATTTTCTTTATATCCCTTACCATAGGAGATATGTTGGAGAATGTACTGCTGCATGGGATATCTGACATTTTCCTGCCTGTGTTCTCCTCTAGGATTTCCATGGTGTAATGGCTTCTATTTAAGTCTTTTATCCATCTCAAGTTTATCTTGGTGTATAGTGTAAATTGGTGGTATAGTTTCATTTTTTTCATGTACCTGTCCAGATGTACCAGCACCATTTATTGAAGAGGCTATTTTTATTCCATTTCATGCTCCTGACTCCTTTGTTGAATATTAATTGACATGGAGGCATGGGTTTATTCCAGGGCTCTCTGTTCTGCTTCACTGATCTGTGTGTCTGTTCTTATGCCAGTACAACACTGTTTTGTTACAGTGCCTTATAATGTAGTGTCATTTCAGATATTGTGATT